TATATATATATATATTGTGTGTACAGTCCACCCGACTGATACAAATCAACTACAGCATGTGAGATATTGATTAGTGTAATTTTGAAATTTCATATATATTCTAATGTAAACATTTTTGACAAATAATAATTGTTGTTATTATGAATTATTATTACTATTATCATTATTATTATTATTACTGTTACCAATATTAAACTGAGACACTTAGAGTTACACCGTCCAAATACATTTTTAACAATAGTAATAAGTGTTAGCAGGCTGAAACCTTGAAAAACCCCAACCAATGTTTCAAATTCTGAAATATGATGTTTAGGTAATTACAAAACTTTAGCGAAGTTAGTATGTGTGCATGTGTGTGTTTGTGTGAATAAGTAAGTGAGTGAGTGAGTGAGTGAGTGAATGAGTTAGATAGCTAGCTAGCTATAAGTTAGCTCGCATTATTTGCCTTCGAAATGCAACCTCATACAATGCATGATTGGCTAGCACTGTTCTGAATTTGATCTAAGGTACAATTAGGTTGATGTGTGTCCACAGAGGTATACAGTTTTGTATTTAATTTTCATAATTACTATTTTTCCAGTAATAAATTGTTAAAATTTCTATCATATTTTCAAGAATAGTTATACAGGATTATTAACTTTCTTTATTTGTAAGTAAGTTGAATTAATAAGATTTTTGGCGGGTAAATATGAATTACTGAAGTGCTAAAAGTTGTATATGATAGAATAGTGATGTAATGTTCTCAGGAATTTAACAATTCTAGTCTTATGACTGGTTACAGGATTTCATCATGAGCTGACTTCGGTTAGTGAATCATTGGAAAATCTGGACAGCTGTTTCGTCCTAGTTTGGGACTCTTCATCGGTACGCACCCACCACCATGGTTTGAACCTAGGACATTCTGGTTACAAGGCGAGCTAGCTCGTAGAAGATTCAGCCAGCCACTGGGACCTGATCCAATGGCCAGCCAGTGCATGAATTCTCACTTCTGCCCATTCATTACATAGCGCGACCGCTAGTCACTGTCTTCGGCGAATATTTTTCCTCACTCCCGACCTTCTGTATTCTACTGGTCACGACTTCATGAATTGGCAGAAGCTAGAATTCATGAGCTGGCTGGCCATTGGATCGGGTCCCAGTGGCTGTCTAATGGTCGACGAGCTAGCTCGCCTTGTAACCGGAAGGTGCTTTGAACCGTGTCGGTGAGTGTGTAATGCTGAATAGTCCCTGGCTAGGACGAAACAGCTGTACAGTACTCCCATCTGGCTTTCCAATGGTTCTCTAGCTGACTTCAGCTCATGGTGAAGTCCTGTAACTAATCAATCAAATCCCTAAAACACCAATAATTGAAAATCTAGTCTTATGATTTAACCTGAAGTAATTTTTGGTGGAAACAACAACAACAGCAGCAACATCCAACGCCAATCACCATCAACGCGAGGGATTCAAAAGAGGTTACTTCATTCACTTATCTGAGGAGCATTGTCTCAACCACAGGAGGAACGGACGAGGAGGTCAGATCGAGAATCGGGAAGGCGAGAAACACATTCATCAACCTGAAACCAATCTGGAAATCTTCATCACTCAGCATCAACAACAAAATTCGGATTTTCAATACAAACGTCAAGTCAGTCAGTTTTGCTATACGGATCAGAAACTTGGCGGGTCACAAAGAATATTTCCAACAGCCTGTTGCAGACCTTTATCAACAACTGTCTTCGCTCTATACTGAAGATCAGATGGTCGGAAAGAATCACCAACAAGAAACTATGGGAACAAACAAACAAAACAAGAACCAATTGCCACCCAACAAATATGCAGGAGAAATTGGAGATGGATTGGACACTCGCTGAGGAGGCCGCTGGGTGACATCGCGCGTCAGGCCAGTGCTCAAGGGGAACCCAAACGGGAAGCGGCGAGTGGGACATCCAAGGGTGACATGGAGGAGATCGTGTGAAGAGGAGTTGAAACAGTATGGACTAACATGGATGCAAGTGAAAAGTACAGCAGAAGATAGAAGCAATTGGAGACGTGTAGTTGAAGCCCTATGTTCCACTAGGAACCCAAGGGAACAATAATCATATAATAATAATTTTTGGTGGATGGTGACTAGCAGTGGACGGAATCCAGGATAACACTCATTTTCACCCACCTATTTTGGACTGGCTCGTCAGCTACTGGATGTACCTGCATTCCTTAGCGAGTGAGTCAGTGATGGTTTCCCCATTGGGGCTCGAACCCAGTACCCATAGCTTCAAACGCCAAAGTATTATCCACAAGAGCCACCACCTCTTATGCAACAAGTATCAGTAATAAATTAATTCAATTTGGACTTTCATGTTGATCGACTGGACCGGAATGCTCGGTCTATGTTTGAAACTGTTTGTACTGGCTTCGGGCATCAGTGGCAACACTATCGATCATTGACGAATGCAGGCATATTCAGATGACGAGTCCCAAGTAGGCTGAAATGAGCTTTATCCTGGATTCTACTGCTAGTCACCATCCATGGAATTACTTCAGGATAAATCGTCAGACATTGTCGGAACATCTGCACAAGGAGGCGACATGTGAACTTGTGGCCGAGAACTTCGATTTATCAATCAATCAAAAGGAATGTTTTATTAATGAAATTTTATTCCAGTTGATTATGTCGACTAAGTGTCTACTTTCATAGTGTTCATTTGACTTTTTTCGAAAATAACTGAAAAAGAAAAGTTTAAGTTGTTTCTTAATAGAAGTCATCATTGTAGTATACTGCAATTTAATAATGAGAAGTTATCATCTTATAATTCGACTGTTTGAAGTGTATGCATGTGTATGTGTGTGTATTGAACTTCTAACTGGCGTCTTAGTCCAGCGCAGGCAAACATCTCATTTTATAATTCAATATGGTTACAAATGGGATGAGGATAACGAACTAAGTTACTGGCAAGATGATGACAGTGATATTCACCTAAGAACTGGAAATAAAACGCTTGAACTTTGATCAAGAATAGGCCAGGTGGTGCTTTCCAAGAAATTGTCAGTAAATCATAGGGTTCATGCCTAGATGGCCGTTGGTTTAGATTCTGTAAGCATCATGACAGGATAGTCGCCTGTAATAGAGAAGATTTGTACCTCAGGTGGACGATTTCGGGGTATTTGTACTCTTTAAACTGGATGGTTTAGTTGAGAAGATTTCATTGTCTTCATAGACAACATCCTCATAGCGTAATTCAACTTGAAGCGAGCTTTTAAAATTCTCCACAAGTTTATTGGTTGTCTTTCCCGTCAACTTTGAATGTGATTGGTTGTTTCTGGCGTATTTTCCCACCCTCTAGTCTATTTGTATTTGTATTGATTGTTTGCTTGACCTGAAACCTTGACCTTTGGTTCATGTGATTTCCTTCTTATGGATTGGTAAAACTTGTCTCTGTTAATATGTTTGTTAATTGCTGATTCACTGGAATTCCAGGTGTTTCCTTTGCCTAATATCTGAACATTGTTCCAGTCGAATTAATGTCCATGTTTGTCTGTAGGCAGCGATATGAGGGAGTGAATATCATGTCTTCTGTCGGTCAGTTTACGTTCATGAATGCGAAAATAAAGAGGCCGTCCAATTCGGCAAATGTAATGTTTTTCACAGTAGTTGAAATTTGTCTCGTAGATGATGCTGAATTTGTCTTCTTCCTCTGTTGAGTTTTTTAAGTTGACATATATCCCAGTGAAGTGATTTTGTTGGTTTGCGTGCGACACCAACCCAAAAGGTTTGAATAGTCTTGTCTTGATTTCGGAGATGTCTTTTATATGTATGGTAGGACAATTTTCTTTGTGTTTTCATTCATTGGGGACCTTTGATTTGGTTGGTTTTTTGGGGGGTAGATGCCTTTTGATGAAGTTTCGTGGGTATCTATTTTCTTGGAGTGCTGCAATGAGTCCTGACTCTCTTGAATAATGTTTGTATGAAACTATTTTTGTGTATTATTATGTTGTTGTCGTTGTAATTGAGTAATTGACCTGTATGGGTTGATTTTCTGTAAACTTGAGTTTCTAAATTCCCTGAAGTTGTTTGCTTGATTAAGACGTCTAAAGGTGAAATTTTTTTCCTCCGATTCCTCTTCCCTTCACAAGAGAAAGTTTATGGAGGATCACAGACACAAGTGTTCAAGGTACCCTTCATTGACGTAAATCTTAGTATACTAGACAAACAAACAAAATCGAAAATTAGCCTGATAGCTTTCTTCTAATTGTGCTGAAAGCGAGATCCAACTGTCAACTGGCCTTATTTCTACAACCTAATGCTCTATGTGACGTCTAGGGCAGTATTAATACATATTATTGTTTCCTTCAGTTCCTAGAGGAACATAGGGCTTCAGCCACACGTCTCCATTGCGTTCGGTTCTCCATCAACGTTTTCACATGGCTGCACGTCTGCCCACATGTTTTCATTTCCTCTTCACATGACCTCCTCCTCCATGTCACCCTCGCACTGACGACCAGCTGACTCGCCACTTCCCACTCGGGTTCCACTCGAGAGAAAGCGTGGCGTGTGATGTCACTTGATGGTCTGTTTTCTTAGAGTATGGCCAATCCAATCCACCCCCAGTTCTTCCTGCATATTTGTTGCACAATTGGTTCTTGCTGGGTTGTTTTTTTTCATTGCCAGAGATCCCTGTATTGATGATCTTTCCTGGCCGGCCATCTGATCTTGAGTAGTATATTGAGTGAAGACAGCTGTTGATGAAGGTCTGTAGTTTGTTCGAAGTGCTCATCGTGACGCGGTGCCAACTCTCTGATCCGTATAGTAAGTAGCACTGACTTCACATTGAAGTTGAAAATTCGGATCTTATTTTCATTTTCTTGCTGAGTGGGCTGTTGATCTCCACAGAGACTTGAGAGAAATGAAATTAATTATTTAGTTACCTTTTCATACCTCTTTAAACTTGAGAAAAATTTCCACCTATTGAGACCATTCTACTTATTGTCATATTTCATTTCATAGATACATAAATATATATATGGTTATCATTGACAAACCAGTGGAAATCGATCAAGAAGCTTCAGAAAATGCAGCAAATATTTATATTAATCCATGCGGTAAGTTCAAAATATACAGTTTTCAGCAGTACAAGTGGTAGCAACATGTAATATTCGCTTAATTCACTTATACACACGCTTTATGTTCAAACCATCAGGATGACGGTACTCAATTGTTTGGAGTGTAAATAACATTGTGAAATGCGCTAAAGCACTCTAATTGTCCACCTAATCAATAGTTTCAAAAGAAGTGACTGAAGGCTTCTAGTCCTGTTACTTTGTGAGCCACTTGTGTGTACTGGCTGAAGGGTTTCGAAATAGGACAAAATATTTTACTTTTTTGCATAATTCTCTTAGTCATTATCATCTGATGAAAGAAATTTCTCCACAGATTCTACTTTTTCTCAAAGTTTCCAGGTTTAAGTAACTATGAGAAGTTAAATACAATAAAGCATGAATTATTAACGCTAAGAAGCCCCTATTATTATTATTATTGTTCCCGTGGGTTCCACTTTGTCGTATTCTCTGAAGTCCTCCTCATTTGGCTACATGATTGTCCATAGTCCCTCATCTTTTCTTCTCATCATCTCCTCGATGTCACTGTTGTACCAAGGAACAACTCACATTCTCCTATTCGGGTTCCACTCGAGTGATGGCCCGGCTAACGCGCGATGTCATCCAACTATCTCCTCAATGACGTGTGCCCAATCCGTCACCATTTTCCCTCACATATTTGTTGGTTGAACAATCGGCTCGTGGTTGGTTTGTTCATTACCAGAGTTTCTAGTTAATAATTCTTTCTCGCCAGTCGGCCATTTGATCTTTAGTATGGAGCTAGCGAAGGGGACAGCTGTTGATAAAAGTCTGCAGCAACCTGTTGGAAATACTTTTCGTAACTCACGCGCAGTGCAAGTTCCTCACCCATATAGAGGAACTTACTGAATGACTTAACATTGGTGTTAAAAATCCGAATCTTGTCGTTTATGCTGATGTGGAGTGCGGACGATTTCGAAATTGATTTCAAAGTGATGAAGGTCTGCCATACCTTTCCGGTTCTAGTTTTAACATCTTCATCAATTACGTACTAAAGATCAAATGGCCAGAAAGAATCAGTAACAAGAAACTCTGGTAATGAACAAACCAACTAAGAACCTTTTGGTCAACAAATAAATATGCAGGAGAAAGTGGAGATGGATTGGGCATACACAGAGGAAACCATCGAATGACATCGCCCACAATACAGGCCATCACTCGAGTGGAATCCAAATGGGAAGCGATGAGTAGGTCGTCGATGCTAGGGTGACATGGAGGAGATCGTGAGAAGAGAAGATAAAAGATTACGGGCAATCGTGAACCCAGCTGAAGAGGATGGCAGAAAATAGAAGAAAGTGGAGATGCGTTGTTAAAGTCGTATTTTCTACTGGGAATGCAAGGGAATAATATTAATAGCATAATCATATGTTTAGTAGGAATATACAAATCAACAGGTTTTAAACGTTTCAAATACCCGCCAGAGTAAACAACACCATTAGACAGAGGTCATATTTTACTAGATTTAAACAAATTGAGTAAGAGGAATTATGTGCAGAATATTGATGGAGGTTGTTTTTGGTAGCTCAAGTTTCAAGCACGCCGTCTGACATAGGCTGAAGATATCCTCAATTGATGTAAACACATCTACCTGACTAGTCACTACTATTTATAACCGAAATGTTGGCTAAAGAAGCAGTGGTGAGGTAATGATGCAAGAAGCACATCGTCAATGCATCAGGAATAAATTTCGAAAAAAGATCACATCGTTACTCAAATTTCATATATCCTAGATCATGTCTTAAAATGATTGAGAGAGTCGGAAAACATTCAAAGAGACAATAGTATTTTTCAAAAGAATGGTTACGGAACAAAGAAATATTCTTTCCGGTAACCTGCTCTTCATCAGGTCCTACACTGATATATATATACCTAATAGTGAATGAATTAGTGTTGTTGACAACAATAATGTTGTTTAAATTACATCCAATCAATAATAATGATAGTAATATCAATAGATTACGGTTCGATAGGATCAACATAACAATACACTGAATAGCGGAAAAATTAGGAAAGATAATAATACAAATTCATGAATTTATAGACTCTACTAAAGGCAGGCCAGGGCAGTAATAGTGGCTGGATGGACCTGTTACTTTCTGCACACAGAACGCCGGTTGTTTCAGGCGAATCGCAATAGCCTTTGCTGTTTTGAGTATATGGTACTTGGGTGCTTTTGGGAATTTAATTGGTACCCGATAGATGACTGAAAAGGATTCTTCAGTGCTGGTTTTGTGGACCAGGTGATCTTATATCGAACTGTTGGTGGTTTTCACTACACCTTTACTTAGCCATACTGGTAGATGTTCCACAGCAATCACGAAAAATTAAGTTCCTAGAGCAAAGGCCAATATAACTCGCTCCACCACAAGTGTAGTTCAATTGGTAGATACAATTAGAAGTGACTAACTAATCTAGGTACTTCATCTTTCAATTGAGGAATCCCAACCAGTCGTGGAGAAAATAAGACTTATGGTTTCCCAACATTAAAAGTTCTTTGAACTGATTTTCTTAACTTCTTCGTAATTATTTCGCTAGTTATATCGTCCTTGAATTGCAGTCGTATGTATAAAAGCTTCTTGTTCACAGATAGTAAGTAGTCCTTTTTCGCTTTCTTTGTCATGTGTTTCCTGATGAATTTGTTTGGATAGCTGTTTTTCAATTGAGATGTCATATACAATCCTAGTTCATCTTCAGTTACCTCTTTTGAACATAAAGCTGTAACCCTGTGGCTGAGGGTCTCTACTAAATTTATTTTGTGCTGGAGAGGAATAAAGCTATGAAAATGTGTACACTGTCCTGTCCATGTACTTTTCCCATATGCGAATTTCTCTTTACACTACCATCTGGTTTTTTTGAAAGGCGGACGTCTAGGAAGGCAATAATTCTATTTTGGGATTCCTCTTCGCACATGAATATCATAGGCAGAATGTAAATTCGTTGAATTAAGTTATTATTGTGTTCCTTTCCGATAAGTAATGCTCTTTACTACCAATGAGTAGTCACCGACACGATGTCAAGTCATATAAAAAATATTAACCTGTTATGCAATCAATTTCTTACTTTAGACCTAACAACAAGAACTAATTAATTATAATATAAAGAAAAAGACTCTAGTATTTCATTTCTAGACGTCCTTATGATCAGAAAAGAGGATGGCACAATAATAATAAGAAGTGTATATTAAAAAACCTACATCAACTGACTGTCAGTATACTCATTTTTTCAGCTTCGTGCTCTTGAAATACAAACGCAGTCTGATAAAGTGCTTGGTCCACCAAAGAGCAAGAGAGCATTCTGCTCAGATGAATGTCTTGATGAAGAACTTAATAATACTAAACGGTTGCTGAGTGAAAATAATTATCTAGAAAAGTTTATTGATAAGAATACGAATCTAAACTCAAAGCAGTCCAAGGTACTAACAGTTCCTAAAAAGGCCTCGGAGATAACATCAGCAAGATACTAACACAACACCTTAGGAATACGGCGGTAAAAAGAGCATTCCCTATTGTTGAATAACTCTGTGTCTTCAAAACCACCCAGCCTATTTTGCGTTCGGGAGTAAAAGATAAGCTGCCTAATTTCGCCTCTTCCATGTGTATCTACCAATTTGACTACTCCTATGAAGTGAGCTAGTTAGTTGCATAGGCCGTACAATTAGACGTGTCTCTCGTCGGACACCACTCTGCATAGTGGTTAAGTAAAGGACAAACAAAATCTATTCGTAGCTCTATTCTATATCATCTTGTGGATACAGAACATAAGATTGATGTTAATGAGGCTGCTTTGAAAGTCATTTACCGCATACCAACAAATCTCACTTTCGACTACTAAGTACTACTGAAGCTGTTGGGATCTACATTAAGAAGCCTAATTTATGTGTCCAAAAGAAGCTAGTTTAGACACTGTCCTTACTTTAGCCATCTACGTTAGAATGATCCTCAATTTTTGTAGAACTTTCCATAATTTCATTTGATATTCTATTTGCTATTATATTTTTATTATTATCACAATTTATGCATCTTTAGTGAAGTGTAATTCCATTGTGGTTTTACTTAACAAATCGATGTTATTTAAAAAACACTAATATTGTTATTGACTACTATCCTAGAATATTCTATGTATATAAACACACATATATGTGATTGTAGAGCCAGAAGAGGAAATTATCGAAAAGGATATTCTCTGCTCCATTATTTTGTGTTCTGTAGATGTCTGAATGAATATTTTCACCATAAATTAATATACTTCATAAGATAATTTTTATCTAATTTTCTCATTTTCATATTACAGAGAAAACAAATATAAAATTGACACCATTAGATGATTCAGATAATGAAAGAAATCAACCATCCACCTCAACTTCTCAAACATACCATAAATTAGATGGTTTTGACAATGAAACTGATAAGAATCACCTGACACCGTCACCACCTTGTCGACCTCCACGACCAGCTAGTATGAAGGGTAGATTGAATGCTTCCACTGTAAATTCACATAGACCAGTAAGTATCTATTGTTATTATTATTGTTATTATGAAACAAGGCATTTACTAAGTTTTTCTACTATGTCTTTAACATAGACTTTTGTCTGTATTACTCATCTCCGTAAAACTGTTATTTATGTATAGATACTCTATTGATGCTGAGTATCTTGAAGAAACATTGTGATTATGCATATTTGTAAAGTATTCCGTTAGTCTACCTGAAGATATTCACAAGAGAACAATAAAAACATACATAATAATGATGATAACTCTAAGTGGTATTTCGTCTTACTTGTCACCAGTTCACTCATATAGCTGGAATTAGCGTGGTTCTATCAGACAGGTTATTTTGTAGCCGAAGCGAATTGGCTTTTGAAGCTCTCGTTCAAAACAGAGAAAAGTCCTGGGTTCGAAACCCGATGGTATGGGTGCGTACTGCTGAAGAAACCCAAAATATGCTGACGAAACAGCTGTCCAGTACTCCCTGCTGGTTTTCCAATAGTTCCTTAACCGATGTAGCCAATCAAATCCCCGCAAACTGACACTTGGATATCAATCTGATGCTCAATAGCGACTGGACCTATTCATTTAGGTACTTACCTTGGTTCTAGTGGGAAGTCATGAATAGGTTGTTTGTGAGGACAGATGCTCTCAAGGGGACTGACATTAGCTAGTGGTCGCATTACCTCATGAATTGGTAGAAGTTTCAATTCACTGACTGACCAATGAGCTCTCACTGCTACTAGAAGGCCCTATGTTCGGAACTCAGTGGCTGATGAAACCCAAACAAGGCTGACGAAACCACTGTCCAATACTCCTTGCTGGCTATCCAAAGATTCTCTAACTGTTGCAATCTCAAGATAACATTCTGTAACCAGTCAAATCCCCGCCAACCAGCACTTGAATGAAAAGCGAAATGGTCACACAGTCTTTAGATGACATCACTGCTCTAGGAAGTACCGTCGGTTGATAAGATAGAATTCTGACTAATTATTATCATTCATAAGTACATACCGTAGATCAACAGATTTAAATAATTTGATAGTGTTAATTCATTCTTATCTATCCAGTATCACTGTTCTATCTGTGTTTTACTTTATACTACTTATTGGGAATAAGAATGTGAGTAATATTTTGCATACCATTTCGTTAGTCTATAACCATAGTTATTGATTTCCGTGGAAATTCATCTCACTTATTATATAAATAGTCTATTTTCTTTGGCGTAGCTGTTGTCTTGTGGTTAAAGGGCACCTCCTGTGAATGTTTCTTCGTTATGTTATACTCTCTGTTGAACAATGCTCATCTGAATCTCTTTCTTTTAGATGGTTGGAGGCAATCGGTAGATAGCCATACATGACCTAGATCTCGTGTTAGTTAGAACTCACCAGTTAGCAAGGCAGGCGTACCTACAACTTCGAAGGAACTCGTATCCCTTCTGAGACTTGAACATGCATCTTCCAGTGCTGCAGTCAGAGAGGGAGATGTTTCCTCTGAGCGATTTCGGGCTCGCAATTGACCTCCTGTAGGGCTGTATTGCATAATAACTAGTGTCCAATCAAAGTATCCAATGCAGTCAGTCCTACAGGAGGCCAATCACCAGCCCGAATAGCTCATTGCTAACGTATCTTTCTGACTGCAGCATTGGGTGGTTACGAGGTTTCGAATCTCAGAACGGACATGAGTTCCTTCGAAGTAACCGATATGCCTACCCTGCTGACTGATGAGTGCTAACTAGCACGAAACCTAGATGAGGTGTGGCTTCCTGTGGCCGACTGCCTCCAACCATCTAATATCAACAATTCACAGTGCAGGGCATCGTAATGGCGAGCCACCTAATGTGGCATGGTGGCGACATTGCAAACGTGGTAGAATTCAGTCTGCATCGAACAAACGACTAGATATATTACACTAGTGTACTAACTAGTGTCCAGTCAATAACTCTCTTTTTTCCTGACCTGTGCATCTGCACGTTGTTCAATTCCGACTATGAGAAACCACTGTCACAGTTCTGCTATTTTCTTGTAGTGACGCCCAGTGATAGTGCATTCTACAACATATAGCCCAGACACCTCATGATTTGAAAACCATAATTTAGACAAGTCCTGTGTTTTGCATTCGACACGCAACACTCAGACGTATTGTTACAGTAATCGATAACTTCTGATTTCCTAGAAGAAAGCTCTACAGTCAGTATTTTCAGGTCCATCAAATTCTGTAGATCTTTTGCAGTTGGTTGCGTCTGAAATTATCTGACGACTTGAATGTTATTAGATAATTTGACTTTAGAAAGGGTTGTTGAGTACCTTCCATTATGGATAAATTTTATTTTGATAGAGTCTCACAGTGTTATACAGTAATATTTACTGATGACGTTTCGAGCACAATTTATTGCTCATAATCATATCAAGGTAATCACACGACTTCCTAAATTCATTTATATAGTTCCATTGTTTTTCACTTGATTTGATTGGTAGTAATATTTTCCATATTTCGGGTATGATTGATGAATCATTTCTATTGCATGTGTTGGGTGTAGATTCGATGAACAAGGATTCAGTAATCAACCTCTCTCTCCACCTACCTAGATTACTTTTTAGAATTTTAACCTTCTCCCACCCTATTGTGTGGTTGTTTGTTAACGCATGCAGTGCAATTGCTGAGCTTTTTTCTAAATTACTTATCTTCTCGGGGTCAACCATTCTTACCTTAGCTAAATTCTTGTGTTCTGATAATCTGACTACCCCTGACCTACTAGTTGGACCTATGTAGTCGACCTCACAGTCATTGCAGGGTATTTTGTAAATTATATTATTTTGTCTAATTGGGTCAACTGGGTCCTTTAACCTACAGAGCTTGTCCCTGAGTGAGTTTGTAGGTTTAAATGCCACCTAAAAAGTAATCTAGGTAGGTGGAGAGAGAGGTTGATTACTGAATCCTTGTTCATCGAATCTACACCCAACACATGCAATAGAAATGATTCATCAATCATACCCGAAATATGGAAAATATTACTACCAATCAAATCAAGTGAAAAACAATGGAACTATATAAATGAATTTAGGAAGTCGTGTGATTACCTTGATATGATTATGAGCAATAAATTGTGCTCGAAACGTCATCAGTAAATATTACTGTATAACACTGTGAGACTCTATCAAAATAAAATTTACCCATAATGGAATTACACTCTACCACAGTGCCCAAGTTTTATTCTTATATCATTGTTGAGTACCTGTCGTCCTAACATACTGGAGAATACAGAAAAAGTAATGAATTCAGCATGTTAACTTTTTACAAAAACTCGAAATACTCATGTTTTTATTAGTTATATTACTACTTGTTTCAATGTATCCCATTACCGTAGATGATTCCTCAAAAGTAGATATATTTGTTGTTCACAACAACCTTTTTCCCAATATATTTCCTGAATGAAAACTTCAGTTTTGTTGAACACAAAAATGTAGAATAGTTGAAAGATACTACTTATGTAACGACAGATGACAAGAGTCGGGAAACAGATCGTTTATTGAGAATATCAACAGATATTTGTAGATTTTTAAAGACATTATTATTTGTCATCATTAGCAGAAAAACAGCGTCTTCTGACTGGTTGTTTTCTCGCTGAAAGTTACTCAGTCATCTGTTTGTGGCCATTTCTTTGAAGGTCACGCCATATATCTGCAAATCGTATCTGTCCACGCATAGTCTGCTGTGAGTGGTTGTTGAGTTGGTGTTTGTTCTTGTTTTTCTCACGACCAAGATTTGGGATGTAAACATTGACGTAAATTGCTGTCTAGCAATTTTGGCTAGCAGACAGCTCCAACCACACCTACACACCGCTATTCACAAACTTAATTTCTTCTGGGGGGAAGATAAACCAACACTTTTCAACATGAGGTTATATTATTGAATTGAATTTTAGATTTTCCCAACGATTGATTGGACTGAAGTGCTCGGTCTCAGATTGACATGTCGGCTTCTTATGCAGATGCTTCGACGATCTCTGGGCATGTAATTGGAATTAAATTACTGGATGGTGACTAACAGTGGAATCCAGGATAGGGCACATTTCGTCTCACTTGTGACTTGTCATCTGGATGTACCTGCATTCCCAAGTGAGTGGTGATTTTCCCTCCCAGCACTTCGGTCCAATCAATCGACGCGAAAATCTAAAATTCAGTTAAATAAATAATATGACCCATTGCACAAGAGGTAGGTGTCGTGGCCCAAGTGGTCTAGTGGATAGCGCCTTGGCGTTTGAAACTATGGGCAACAAGTTCAAGCCTCGATGGGAACATCTTCACTCACTGTGGAAAACAGCAACATTCAGTGACGAGTCCCTTATAGGACGAAATGTGCATCCTGGATTCGAATGCTAGTCAACATCCACCAATTAAATTCTAGTGATTCAAGCTCTTTGGATTTTGTGATGAAATGTTCTGGGTAAACATTTTCGAGGAGGATTCTTTCCAGAGTCTTCAGCTTATCTTCCATAGTGCAAGGGCTTCAGATACTGTGGTTTCTATTGCTCAGAGAACGGATTGGGTGTCGTTTTGTATATAGAGGCACCCAACTATGAAAGTTAGTAAGGTGTCCGTCCTATGTCGGCTTTCTCAAGACGCACCCTTTCAGTCCAGAAAAGATATTTCTGTGTTGGACTACTTCTCTAATATGCATTGAAATGCAAGACGGCAGCTCACCATAAAGTCCAGGTTGTCAATCATAAATCCAGGAGTAAGGAAATAATTGAAATTATGCCAATAAATAATGGTTAAGATCATGTAGAGTTATGCCTTATCAGCTTTATTAGAAACTGGAAAACGTTAATTTTGTAATGCCTGAGAAATTGAATACGATAAGAGAAAAGTAGAGAACACAAAGTATCATCATTATTTTGCCAAGTGTACAAAGACGAATGCAATTTATTAGATATAGAAACCTTGAAGAAGGCGGATACTTCAGAAATAATACATCTTCTCGTCGACACTGTCAATCTCGTCTAGAGCAATTGACGT